ATATTGCGTGTGGTTCATGGAAGACAGCAATGGGGGAAAACCTTCAGTACCGCTGGACTTGCAGCTGTGCAGACCCATGCAGCTGCACCTGCATCTGAGCGCTAGTTTTTAAGACTGTCTTAAATCCGCCTGGTTCAAATCACTGGCGCCAGACTTACGACATTGCTCCTGTTCTTCTGCAAGTTGCCAGCACGTCCCCTTCCCCGGAGTACCAAAGCCGCTCCCGCGCCGCACTTCCCGCCACATCGCGCCGTCTAATAAATCCGCCGTTTCCCGACATTCGATGGGGCGAAAGAAGATGCCCCTGACACCGGAGGAGGAGAACCTGAGGAGGGAGCGACGCAGGATGGCCAACCGCCGATACTATTATGAAAGGCGTAAACCGTAAGTTGCCTTCGAGCCGCCCGTCACTCCTACCCACCCCCTAAATCCCGTGCAGGCGGCTGCTCTTGCAGGCGGCTTCGGACGCCACGGAATACCCGCAGCCACATCCTGGCCCGGGCCCAAGCAGTGCGCGCGCCGTCGACGCGGGTCCGTCCAACGCCCGACCGTCCAGCGAGGGGGTTCGCGATGTGGCCGTAACGGCTGGACCTATACCAAGCCCTAAGTAAGTATGATAATTCTAGATCAGTCTCCGCACTTCTCATTGCGCCGCAGACCCGCCGCACCCATTCGCATCCCGCTCACTCCGGACCAAGTTCTCATCGCGCGGTTGGCCGCCTTGAACGACAGGTTGTGCCGGTGGGGTTACACGGACAAGCTTGACTCATTCAACACCTGCTTCAAGCGCAACTACGTGTGCGCGAAGGCCGATGCACCGTCGATGGAGGTGTGGACGGGGAGGGCGTGGGACTGGATTGGCAGGGGGGCCGACATACTGGACGAGGTGCAGGATCTGGTGTGTAGCGGGGTGCTGGACTGCTTCTCCCCGGAGAGCATGGGGAAGCTTTGGGAGCAGCTATTGGCCGCTGCATTTAAGGTCCAGTACATGATGGCCGTCGCCCAAGTATATCTAGACTTAGAACCCTAGGGTATGCGCAGAACGAGTATCTGGTGGATTCGAGCGCGACGTAGATTGTGAGCTGCAAAAATACATGAGTGACGAAATCTAAACCTCGGTCCCCTCAGCGGCGTCGGTGAGGACGGGCCTTCCATCGTCTGCGAGCACGGGCTTTCCGTCGCCTGTGAGCACGGGCCTTCCGACGCACCCCGCCATGTACTCCAGCCCGAAATACCAACCGGCCCGGCTCAAGGACGGGAACTTCACGATCTTGATGCCGGGCTTCGTGCCGACCATCTGGAGAGCGAGGTTCCTGTACGGGATGAGCGACGAATAATTGGTACATATAGTTCAAACTTACTTATCGAAATATATGCCGGGCTTCTCGCCGCGGACGACGACGTAAACTATCCGGGCGCGTCGGGGCGGGGCGCCGAGAGAGGAAGCGCCGGGGTCCGCATGGCCGCCATGCCCGAAGGGGTCTGCAGATGCAGGCGCCGTGCTAGCGCCGCCGCGCAGGGGAGAGGAGCCGTGAAGGACGGGCTTGGGACTGAAGGAGTGCAGGGAGCTAAACGGGCTGCCCAGCGAGACCGGCGAGGCAAGCAGGGGTGTATGGATGGTGTTCGGCGAGATTGTGCCGTCGGTGAGCATGGAGGAGAGGGGAAACGAGGAGGCAGTGGCAATGGACGGGGACGCCGGTGGAGCGGTCTTCTGCGACTCAATGTAGTTGCGCAGGGAGACGCCGCGGGCCGGGACAAGAGTTGGCGAGGCAGGAGGACTCGGCGTCGAGGGAGGCTCCTCGGGGTCGTGGAACTCGTCGGCATCCTCGTCGCTTTCCCAGTATTCCTCTTCGAAGTTGGGGCTCTCAGGCGGAAGATCAACGGGGATGCTGGGCGGGGTCTGAGGTGCAACGTCGACTTCGGGGGCGGGGGGATCATTCTTAGCGGCGGAAGTGGTGGGATCGGGCGGCGGGCCTATGGTGTAGATGGGGGGGCAAGGCTTGGGGACCTTCCAGGTTCCTTGAGCACGGATGGGGCCTTGAAACCACCCCAGCAGGGTGTCCTTGAGGCTGAGGTACTTCTTGAACGCACACCCGGAGAAGCCGCACGTCATCGCCTGAGCGAGGCCCCTGTGAAGCAGAAGTCACGGTCGACGGAAGATCAGTGAAGCTAGATGTGTAAACTCACCAGTTGTAGAATAACCCTATGCAGCGCCCTACCCAGACGACGTAGATCGTGTCCTTGTCCTCCGGAAGACCGATTGGGATGGGGTTGCTGGCGCGATCCAACTTGGGGGACTCCCCGATGGCTCTGGCCACGCCATTGAAGTCGCGCAGAAGACTGTGAGAGACCATGGAGAAAGCGGTGTGAGGGGAGGTGGGTCCAATCGTGAGGGCGAAGTGCGATCGCGGGGTAGTGGTGGTGGCACTGGACTGAGGAGGCAGGCAATCGCGCAGAGTTAGTGATCGCCCGATTTGGACCCTGAATAGGCGCCCACATCCGCGTGGCGTGGTGTGGCGTCCGCGCAGCCCGGACTTCAGCTTTGACTTCCTTGGCCCTCGGAACGCTGCCCTGTCACTCCTCCACGTCTGGCAGCATGGCCTCCCTCAACGTCGAATTCGTCGATGCCACCACCAACGCCCGCTACACTAGCTCTGTCGCCACTCGTGCTCGGCACAAGTCAAAACGCTCCAAAAAAAGGCGGCAAGGCTGGTAATCCCGGGGTTTTCAGTGCGGGTCGGCTGGCGTTTTTCGCAGAACACCAGCCCGAGTTCAACAAGCTCAAGAAAACGGCCCGTACCCCGCAGAACAATTTCTGGGCCAAGCTCTTCAAGCTGTACTGGGTGCAGTTCCCGTGGACGGTGCCTCTCAAGGATGATGACGTGTCAGCCTGGCCGTTGCCCGACAAAAAGGAGTTTAGTCCCGAGGAGCACAAAGCCAAGGGTAAGGTTATCGACGACGTGAAGAAGGTGAGTTTCGGCAGCATTAATTATTTGTATGAGCTATACTGAGCTTCATTAGACCGTCAAACGGCACATGCGCTACGTACGCGACCGCCTGCAAGACATGGAGAACCCTTGGACGGAAGTACTCGCAGAGCTCGTCAACCGCGAAGAACCTCCCCCGCCACCTCGCCAGCTGGCTCCCTGGCAGCTGTACATGTCCAAGAAGAAGCCGGAGATCGACACCAAGCTCGAAGAACGAAGGGCCGCCGAAGATACCCCGCGCGAACGCGTCCTCGCCCTGCGGTCGCTCATCGCGCGCGAGCTCCTCGCGGAGGAGACTGAAGAGTACCGCGCCGCCCTCCAAACTGAGTGCGAGGAGATACGCGATGCGGACGTCGCGATGGAGCAGCAGGAGCCGGTCAGGACTCGGCCAACGGAGGCTGCGCAGACACAGTGTGTATCAAGCACATCTCCGCGATATATCAGTACTAATGCCACTTCAGCGCCAGAGACAAGCTTGCAGCGGTGGTGCAGCCGCTGCTGCAGCTCATCCGAGAGCACACCGGGATGTACGTCACGCTTTTGGCGGGTGCCCCGCTCCGCGGCGGGAACCAGCTGAAGATGTTGGTACCTCTCTCTCTCTTTTTGACATCATTACTTACCGTGCCTCCTACAGCGTGAGTGCTGGCAAATCCGGCGGCCCCTCTCCTATGCCGTGGCACTTGCACGATCCAGGGCGGTTTAAGAAGGACGTCATGGGCGCGTTTATGGTGTTCCTCGCACGCACTCCGGGTAAGTCAACTCTCCCTGACGTGTCTGTCTGCTGCTGATCATCTTCAGAGGGTCTTGCTCGAGCGAGCGGTCAAGCTACAATGGACGGCACCCCCATTCCTGGCACAACAACGTCGCTTCTCTTCTCCGCCAATGCGACACCCGGCGCCTCTACCGCCGACGCCACGCCCGCCGTCAACACCTCGACTGTCCCCATCACTGCGCCCGCCGCCAAGGGTACTTCCAAGCGACAGCGCCGGGCCTCCTCTCCGAAACGCGCCGCCAAGCGGCAAAAGTCGTCCAAGGGCAAGTCGCGGTCGCGTCGCAAAGCTTGCGATGCAAGCGACGAGGAGTCGGAGGCGTCATCCTCCGAGTCTGAGGAAGAGACGGAGACCTCGGAGTCGGACAAGGATGAGGATGAGGGCGCGAGTGTGGGTGGCCAGGAGGAACCTGTTGAAGGAGCAGGCCAGGGGGGTGAGGACGAAGACGGGTGGGTGGATGAGGAGGATGGGGAGGTTCCGGAGCACATCGCTGTCCCATCTGCCGACGATCTCGACCTGAACGACGCAGTCCAACGTCAGTTGGACATGAGGAGCCCTCGCAGCAGGCGCATGGAGCTCTACGGCCTCTCGCAGTACGAGGAGTTCGACCGCATGACACTTGGCAACCGAGTTCGCGCGGCGGAGATCATTCTTTCGGCGACAACCACATCGCCCTTCATACCGCTCTGTCTCAACCCGTTGGCCGCCCTCGACAAGGCCAAACAAGGTGGCAAGAAGAAGAAGAATGGCAAAAAAACGGGTGGCCATGAAGGTACCTCCAGTCCCGCGGGGCCTGTGCGACAATCTGGTCGCCTCGCTGCTTGAGGTGTCGGCGCCGCATCTTCCTCTCCTGCCGCGGCAGGGGGCACACCCGTCGAGCAGCTGGAAACCCCGCAGCTATCGCCACTGACTGTCCTGGCCGGCCAACTGCCCGCAACGCCGCCGGAGCCCTCTGCGTTCGCCTCCTCGACACCCCCATCGCCCATGCAGTCCGCGCCGACGCCCGCGCAGTCCTCGTTGACGCCCGCGCAGTCCGCGTCCACGCCTGCGCAGTTCGCGTCGACACCGACACCGACGCCCGCGCAGTCTGCGCCGACGCCCGCACAGTCTGCGCAGACTCCCGCGCAGTCTGCGCCGACTCCTGCGCAGTCCGCGTCGACACTCCCTCAATCTGCGTCGACGCCAACGCCAACGCCCGTGCCCACTCCTGCTCAATCCGCCTCAACGCCTGCACAGTCCGCCTCAACACCCGCACAGTCCGCGTCTACGCCCGCTCAATCCGCGTCGACTCTCGCGCAGTCTGCGTCGACGCCCGCGCAGTCCGCGTCGGCGCCCAGCCCGGGACCGACATTGCAAGGGGGTATCATACTGGACGAGAGCAATTGGCCGGTGTGGGTTCGGGAGAGCTTCAATCAGCTGGAGGGCAGGGGCTATGGGCCCGAGTTCATGCGTGCCGTCGAATGGTGGACAGTGCTGGAGCGAACATATGGGTGGGAGACTTCGGTGAGTGGCTTTGCTCTACTCACCGGAGCTCAAGCTGATTTTCATTAGACCAAGGGCCTAGGTACCGACCGCCGCCCCTCCGAAGTAGGCCATTGGTTGCGCGTTCTTCGGCGCAACCTTGCAAAGCCGCCGCAGATCAAGAAGGAGAGCCAGTACGCGATGCTGTGGTGGGAGTGGTGGGCCGGGCTTCAGCCAGCCTGGCGCGAGTGCGACAATCGCGGAATCCCAGTCATTGGGGGTAGCGGCGACTGGAATGCCTTGAGAGCGCCAGGCAAAAACAGCCTCCTGATCGTCTTGCTATCCCTCGCGTGGTGGCGGGAAGCAGCTACTAATGCAACTATGCAGCGTTGGACCGCCGCGCTGGCGGACGTCGCCTGGGTCATCCAGTCCATGGCGGCCCAAGCCCTGCAAGACAAGGAGTTGAGTGCCCGCGCCATATCTTCGTCTTGGGCAAACTGACCCTTGTTTGGCAGGCATGATTCCTCCGAGGAAGATGAGCTGAGTGAGCCCCCTACAAAGCGTCGTCGGGTCTAGTGGACGCGCTGCAGCGTCCCGGGCCTCGCATCGCCCCCGTGCGCGCTCTTGTGCGCCGCCAGCGCCCCCGCTCTTCGTGCGTCGCCCGCGTACGCGCTCGCTGTGCGCCACGGGTGTCCCGTTCGCTTTGTATCTCGCGCGTCCGCGTTCGCACGCATCCCCCGTCCCCCCGTCCCCCTGTCCCCCTGTCCCACGCATTCCCCTCATCCCCCGCATCCCGAACAGCCCGTCAACTTGCCCTGCCATCGCTATCGATTCGCCCGTGTTGTACATTACATATAGCGGCCCCTGCGCCTAATACATATCCCTGCTCTGAACGCGTACCCGGTTACAATGGCACTTTTCCCCAAGGGGCTATTCCGAGAATGTCGGGAAACATACCGTCTCGCTAAGATCTGTATTCCGATCGCATCAATGACCCGCCGTCCCAAATGGGAGGTTCACAACATAGCCGAGAGGCCCTGCAGAGGGTTTGGTGTATGTCCGGGAGGTGTGCCGCATTAGGAAGGCCGCCGAGAAGCCGAGAGGGCGCTAGGAGGGCCCACTGGGGGCAAAGGACCACCCCGGAGCTTCGTGACACATGACGAACCTTGACGGTTCGTTATGCAAAACAGTCACGGCGGTTAAACAGTTTGTAACAGTATTTGGCTACAACAGCTGCTGCGCCACCCGCGAGTCGAGCAAGGCGAGCCGCGATAAGTGGTCCCGACTGGGGGCGCCAAGCCCCGCCAAGCATCGGGGTTCGAGGGCAGTACGAAACACCCGATACGCTCGTCGGGGGTCGCGGTGCATGCGTCCCCGCCCACCAATCACACCGCGCGGTACGCGCGGCCCCGACAGTCTAGGCAAGGCCCGCAGAGCGCGGCCCCCGTAGGGGGCCCGATCGTCGCGCCCGTCGCGCAAGGCGCGACGGGTGCATCTTTTATTTCTTATCCTTCCCGTATGGCTCCGGCCCCTCCTGTATATACGCGGGGCCCCGAGCTCCGGGAAATCCCACTTTCTCTTACCCCTTCAGAGCTCAAGTTTGCGATTGCGACGGCGTCTGCGACTGCGACTTCGACAGCGCCAGCGAGTCCCCTCCCGACAACATCCCCGACGTCCTCGTCTCGTTGCGTACAGTGAGTACTACTCCCGAAGCCCGCGTCCCCGATCCCCCGCGTCGCGCCCCGCAATAGCACGTATCGTCCGCGCAATCCCTTCCTCACAGGCCAGGAGCGAAAAGCTCGCTCAGCCCCTCCCCGCGCCTTCCGCGTCGTAGGGAACTCGGGATCGTACTCGGAACCCCCCGCTCACACAAGACACTTCTCGGGTCTCGTCCTCTCGGCCCATCGACCCCGACGTCCTAGCGGCCGTTACGGGAGACTTGAGTGCATCATCGTGTCGCGAAGGACGTCTTGGTGTACGCTCAAGACGCGACCACATCCAAGGAGGCCTGGGACACGCTCGCGGAGACGTTCCAGGAGACCGGCCCCATCGGCATTATGGAGGCGCGACGAAAGCTTTTCCGCGCTCAATGCCCCGAAGGAGGAGACATCGAGGAACACCTCCGTCGGCTGCGCGCTTACCGGTCTGAGCTCCACGCTCTTGGCCAGACCGTGAGCGACTCCGACTTCTCGATGATCATACTCACCTCGCTTCCAGATTCCTGGAACCCCTTCATCCGCGCAATCGACCCGACCGACCTCATCGCGTCCGCTTTCGGCCCACCAGCTGTGGTAGTCGTAATGTATTATAAACCGTTCATAAGCCCGCGCCGCATTACATTATAAACCGTTCCGGTTCGTAATGTATTACGAACACCCCGGGGACCCGAGGCATCTGCCCGGCACCTACCAAATATGGCAGGCAGCCCCGGAAGCGCTGTTATCAATGCCCAGCACTGTGCCCCGGCTTATCTCTGCTAGATAACAGCTTTATCTCATCAATCCGACTTTCCTGGACATCCTGATGGCCCCGCCCACCGGCGCTTTGGCTCCCGCCCCGCCACATCCCAATTAGGAAGGTGTACTAAACACCTCCCCCCAGGGCACATTGCCTGGCACATTCCTTGCTTAATACTGGGCGCATTAGGCTCGTTCTGGGCGCTTTTTGCTCGCATATATGAGCGCTACAGGACGATGCAAGCGCGCCCAGAATCGGATAGTTATTGAGGGCGCTACAATGTGTACTAATGGGCACTTTATAGGAATACTGCGTGGGCTATAGCGCACCCCGTTCCTCACGCGCAGTCACGAAACTGGTATCCCCGAAAAGCCCCAGACAGTGGCTTTCGAACGCGCCCCTCGCGGCAGGAAACCGCCCACGCGTTTTTGATTTGTACTCGGTCCACCTGGGCAGGGGGCTGTTTTCGAGTGCCCGGGCCATATCTAGGCCATTTCACCGCCTATTTGTACGAATATGGGCTTATTTAAAAGCTTGAACTATGACGGATATTCACATTGTTGAAATAGGGCTGCACGCGCGATTCGGAGCGGCCTGGGAAGCCAGGAAAGGGGCTGCACTTCCAGAAGCCTTCACGGTAAATTTACTGGGTTCACAGCCTCAAAACACCTTGAATGCTATACCATTGGAAAGCCATACTCCATAGTGCTCTAATGGTGTACAATACAATACAGAATCACCGCTCTGTGCATCTTTACTAGGATGCCTCTCTCCTCACCCCTGCCAACAGTCCCCCTTAATCTATAGCGCCATGGATGGTTTCCTGATGAACTCTGAACCTGGAAGGCTGTAAGCCGCACAAAGAGAGGTCTTCAGTCTGTGAGAGAACGACTCTGATTGCATAGTACTGTACCTGTAAGCCGCACAAAGAGAGGCTACAAGTACTAGTAAGTAAAC